TGAGAGTTTGTGTAGGAGATGGAAGCTTCCCTTTTTACTTTATAGAACTCTGCACTGAAAAAATCTTCTGACATGCATACAATACTTCTGTAATATCAAATTCATCAATTAAATGCCCCCCCCCAAAAAAATAAGTGGTCAGACTTATATCAGGGCCACCTCTGCTCTGCTGTGGCAACTGAAAAACCATTTAAACAGTATTTTTCCTAAACGCTCAAGTGTTAAATGAATGATTATGTCTCAATTCAGTTCTGAAAGGCACAAGGAAGCTCAGTTAGACTAAAATAAGTCATCAAATCTTAAATGCCATATTGCAAAAATCCCTGAGATGATTCTTACGTGATGCTTTAGAGAACCTCAAATAGAGACCATCTCATGATTCTCACTCACAAAAGAAATCTGGTCACACAAAGAAGGAAAAAATAAAAAAGGATAATAGAAGAAGGACAATAATTAAGCCCTGCTCTTCTCATAGATAAAGAATGACGTTTTCCAGTGATCACAGTCATGCTTCAAAGCCAGAGATAAAAGCAGCCCTGTGATTTGAGCAATTGATTCTTAAAGACGGGATTCAAAGGTAAAAGAAAAATTTCAAAAGTAGAAGGGATATGAAACAGCGTCTCTCTGAATTATGTTTTAAATGCCTCCTTTCTGTTGTTTCTTTCTCCCTGTGGTTCTTCTATAGTATGTTAGAAAAACAAAGTAATTATTATTATTATTATTATTTTTGGACACAGCTACAACTCTCTCTCTTTTCAGAGCATATATTTAGACTATTTTTATTTTAAAGTAATCAAATCATTTCAATCTTGTTCATTCTTCAAAGCACTTTTAATAAAGACACCTTTTGCTGATATGAACACATTGTACATGTAATAGATGATACAGGTTCAAAGTAATGCCTCAATTATAGTAAAATTATATAGGCATTTTACGTTGCTGGGGATTAAACCCAGGGTCTTGCACATGCTAGGCAAACATTCTACCATTGAGCTACACCCCTGGCCCAGTAAAATTGTATATTTTAGCAAGTTTCGATTCTTGTGTAACTTAATTTTGTCACAAGTATGATTCTTTGGCCTTAAGAGTGACTGTATAAGCATGCCTTCTTTTTACTAGCATTATTTTTGTGTACACCCACCCACTGAAAACATTGCTTATTGATATTTCCAAAGAGTAAATAGGGGCCTCTCATTTAATTTTTTGGCATTTTAATTAAGCAAGAGATAAGTTACGGAAGAATCTTTTCCTCTTTTCCTTCTGCTTACTGTCTCCAAGGTATTGAAAGTGGCCCCCTAAACATCTGGCACATTTCCTAACTGGGGGCAAATGAGAGGAAGACACTGGAGTTGGATTTGGTTTCTTGGCTTTGACAGTGGGATGGGCCCTGGTAACTGGACCAGCACAGTTGAGGTGCACCCAATCACTATGCAAGTGCTAAGTGCAGTCACACAATCTCCTTGAGAGGACAGACAAGTGGCTAAAACTCTTTGTTGCCCTCTGAAACCAAACCAAATCATTTCAGAAAGTGCTCTTCAAGAGCACAATGAACTTGCAGCTGCTGCGGGGGCAGGCCCTGCATCTCCCTGCCGCTCTTGACACCCCTTCATTCTTCTTCACATTAGCATGTACTGCTGGGCATAGGAACTGCAAGAGGAAGTGTAGTTCTGTCCCTAGGGTCCCTTGATGACTCCAGTGGATGACCAGGGTTAGATTCCAACAAAGGCACACCCCAGGCCCCCCACCCGCCCTGGCCATTTTTACCCAAGGATCCTTTGTCAAACATTTTAGATCTTAATCAATCTTCACTCTGACCTCCCAGACCCCAAGGAAGATGGATGAGGAAGTAGGTGACCTTTCACCTGTTCTTCTATTTGTCCTGCCACAGTTGGACCCATTGAGAAGACAATGGGGAGGAACCTGCTGCCAGAGTTCTAAAGACCTGGCCGGGTCTCCTTTATATCCCTCCTTAAGCTGCCTTTACACCCCCTTTCTTGTCCCTCCCCCAAATCACTTGTCACTCTTTCAAAGGAAAGTTCTTTTTCTTACAGAGGAGAGAGAGGGAGGGGTAGCCACAGAGAGAGGGAGAAATACTCTCTAAATATCACTTTCAATATGAAATGCGAAAGTGGTCATTTTGCTTTGTTAGGTAAAGGGTCGAGGGATTCTTCCTACCTTTAGCCTTGACTTTGGAGAGTGACTGAGGGATTTTCCTTTTATTATTTCAACTCAACACCCTTAAAGTCAACATCTATGACCTTGAGAAGGGCAGGTGATAAAAGAAATGTTTGTGTTCACACTTATTTAGTGTTTTATGTACTACAAGATGACTTTATCAAACTTCAATCACCGACTCCTCATAGCTAGTTTGCGAGTTAGAGAGAGATCTTCCCATCTCATTTTGAAGAAACTGAGGTTCAGGGGGCTTAAGAAATGTGCCCAAGGTCATCCAGCTAACTAACCCAACTCAGATGCATTTCCGTGGCCCCACATTCTTTCTGCTAAGCTCAGATGCTCCTCCTACACCAGTAACCATGTCAAGTGCCAACCATTTTTATTACTCCTGGGATTTTTACAGTGTTGGGTCATCTTTTAAAAGTCTCACTAAGCTTTGGAATTTAAAAAAGCCTTGTCTTTCCAAGTTTTTCCTTCTTCCCAAAATTCATCACAGACTTTCACTTGGTAGAAATAAAAACAAATGAGAAAATGAACTGCAAGATTTTGTGTAAGATGTGTCTTTTTGAAAGAGCTAATAATTTTATGAGAAAAAAACCTCAAAATCTCAGTAGCATGTATGAAATCTCTGAAGGTTCTTAAAATTGGCTTAACCAAACTTCCCCTTGCGTTAGATATCTGGGCTTGTTAGAAACAGCTCACTCATAAACGGACTGGGTCTGAACCATGGAGCCCCTCCCCTTCCATGAATCACATGATTAACTGGATTCCCAAGATGATTTCCATAAAGCAAACCACTAAAATGTTCAATTGCCTTTACATCCACTTCGCCCTCCATCTTTTTCTCTTTTCCTTCTAATTTGGGTTGTAAAAATGTCAAGGAGTTGCACAATGTGGCAATGTATGAGTTACTGGGCTCTATGACAATTGAAAATCAATGGCATTAGTTACAGGGAGATGAGCTAATGCTAGAAGGGTGAGCTTTTTAACAGGAAATGGAAGACAATGTTGGTTTTTTAAATATATATATATATATTTTATAAGAAAATTTGACATGGAAAGATGGACAAGTCCCACTCTTAAAAAATTGGGAAGGTAGAATATTTTACTCTAAAATATGATGGAGGTGTCATTGACCCATTCCTACTAGACCACTGGAATTTCGTTGCCAATAACAATATGCTCACATATTTTCTAATATTGATGCCAGAATATTCTTCAGAGTTTCAACTCTGTACAGCTCATCACTTTTGCCAGGTCAAAAGCAAATAAAAATGCAAGAAGTCAATATTTATAAAAAACTCAAAATTCCAACTTTCAAATTTTCAAGTTTCCTTTTACACTGAAGTTAGAAGATAGCCAGGCTTTAGTCTGTTTTATTTACAATGAAATTAAAGGACAGTCACTGTTAGCTACTTCTACAAGTAACCATTAATGGCACTTTGGGAAAGTATAAACCATGAAAGGAGAAATGTCTACATTTATAATGAAGATGAATTATCAAAAATGCAATTTTCTTTAGGTTGTGAAGGCTGGCACCCAGTCAATCAAGTGAAATGCCCCATTGTTAATCCCACCCTGTCATTAAGATGGTTGAAATGCCAGACAAATTGTTTGGCAGTCAGTTATTTCAGGCTCTTTAATCACCAAATCAGATGAACCATGTGGCAATCCAGTCTACAGCTCCACAATCACCAGAAGAAAAGATTAGTCAGATCTTTTCTATAGGTGAGACTAAATCACAGTTCAACTGTTTAGTAGTAATCATCACCACCTAGGCCAGGGTAGTATCAGACTAGTGATAACCACTGAAAATAAACACCAAGCAAGACAAAAGTTTAAGATAATTAATTTTTTTGACTTAATCCACACAGAATATAAACAATCAACAGATTAAGTGGATTACTTTCATTCCTTACTTGGATATAAAGCTGCCACCAAGTGAAAGACTTTACAAAATCCCCAGTATTCTGACAGAGGGAAAGAGGCAAGATTGAATCATGAATACTGAACTTGAGGTGAGAAAAATCACCTTAGTAATATGTGAACAGCAATCAACATGATGAAAACTACATTATTTTTCCAAAAACGTAATTACCAAAGTGAATCACAGTTTACTCTTGCCTCTGACCACAGATCAAATAAGATCCTTAACTCTATTATAATCTCCTAAGAGAAATGAAGAGGTCTTTGGTCAAGATTTAATTTCACTTAGAGTCTCTATCTAATGGGTGTTCAGTAGAACAGAGTGAACTGGAAACACCACAGCCACTACACTTCATTGGGCCACTTCTCCACTCGTCCACAAGGCAGAAGGAGTAAAAAGACATGGACTTTCTTCACACAGGGTGATTTTACAGAATGTCAGGGAACTGAAACAACACAATCCTAATTCCACACTTGACTCATTCATGCACATATATTTAAGATGGAAGATATTTACCAACTTTGTCATTTGACCAACTCTATAGATGGGAAAGCCATGTCTCAAAAATGTGTCCACCTCTTTGAGTGAGGATCAATCAAGCCCCCTTCTTCGGCTTGTTCATTTACATTTCAGAGGGTGTACCCAGCCAGTTCAGATCTAAGTGCCTGTTAGCAAATGTGCTTGGCCTTGGGCTGATGACAGCAGCATCATTTATTTTGTCAGTATTAGAGATGTCTTAGCCTTGCCACCTGGAGCTACAGCACTTACTCATTAGACCCCTCTGTCCCACCACATCCCACAGGGGCTGCTAATTACTGGCTTTACTCCATTTAGTCTCATCTCGGATTTAATTACGTGCTCTAAGCCCTAATGAAAAGTACAATATGGCTCTTCTTACCTTGGCATTCTCCATTTTGCTCTTCGTGCCCAGCATTACACAGGCAGTTGCCAATGGGTACCAGCCATTCACCATCTGCCCCACAGTACATTTTTGGCACATCCTTCTCTTCTGAGTTGTTGACACAGGAGCCCCGCACTTCCACCAGGGAAGAGGTATCAGCCCCTGTGATGGTGTCTGGAAACTGCGCCAGGTTGCGAACCGTGAGTGGACACTTCTTATAGAACACTCGGACGGACACCAGAGCAATGCAGGCCCCCACGTCCTGAAAAGCCAGGTAAAACCCCTTTTTGCTCAGTGGTCCTACATCCCGGATCTCGGTGTTCAGCTTCATGATTCTGTCACCTATGTCTACTTGGGTGAAGCTCTCATCCGCAGCAATGGTGTCAATCTTGGCAAATTGGCTCTCCCTGATGAAACGCTCCTTATCGTTGTCTGACTCATAGTAGTACAGATTAAAGGTCTCCTTGCAAGTCCCCATGACGCCCGGGAGACTGTTGCAGTCCCTCAAGGTGAACTTGATCTCGATGTACACCCTCTGAGCCCCTTCCCGCGTGATCCAGTCAGTTCGCAGCCAGTTGTTCTGGCTGGGCTCCATCACGTTGCACACCTGGTAGGTCCGGATGGGTGTATTCTTTTCATCCATGATACTCACTTCCTCCCACTGCAAAGACCCAGAGGGAATGCATGAGTTACAAAGTCTCCTCAAACAGGGATTTGCTAATTCTGTTTTATTCCCATAGGACATGGATCATTTTTGTTTCAATAATTTAGAAAATTACTGAGCTCCAGTCCTCATAAATAAAGCATCTCTTGGGAGATCAATCCTTTTTTTTTTTTAATTATTGTTTTGCATTTTTGCCTAAAATCCAGAAGCAATGGTGGATTTACTACTTGTGGGTTCTCAGCAGCTCCTTGTGGTGGTCTAACAAACTCAAATTCCTCTATTACAATAACTACAATTTCAAGTGGTAACAGTTCAAATTTGCTCATAAACTTAAAAAAAAAAAAAAGAAAGAAAGAAAAACAAACAAACAAAAAAGAAAACAACAACCCAAACTAGTAAATGTATTATCCCAACCACAGAAACAGAGACAGGCAAATTAAGGGCAGGAAGAGTAAAGCTTGCCAAAGGGAGACAATTATCAGTTAATTAGTGTTGCTCCTGTCAGAACTTTGCTCTCTAATACCTAAAAAAAAATGTCAATTGATTTTTTTTTTTTTTTTTTTTGGACACCATCACTACTATTTAAAGGGGAAAATAAATTCCCATCATTTTGGTTTCGGTGATCCTGGCAAGACAGTACATATGGTTGCATTTCTCAAAAATTCAGTGTTCCACTAACAAAAAACTTTTCAAGAACATGCTTTCAGTTCAAAAGTTTGCACATGTTCTTATTTTGAATGAGACCCATAAGGAAACTAGAGTGAAGACGTGTTTTGCTTCTAAATCTTCAGCGGATATTGAAAATAAAACTGTAAGTGGCATTCATGATGAGAAGCCCAAGGAACTTTGTAAAGGAGGACTCCAGTGTTTCCTATGCCTTCTGCTTCCTCACACAAGGATTCTTCAATGGTGGACAATCTGAGTTCCAATGAACTAAAGTGGCAATTTCCCTCTCACCACAGCTTTAAAAAGTAATTCTAAAAGCAAGACGACAGTTTGGGCTCCTATACTCTGACTTCTACTAAGTTGGTAGGGAGTCTCCAGTTCCTCATTAACATCCACAGCAATGCATTAATATAGATCTGGCATAAATCAGCTTAAGTACCTAACACATGAATGTAATTAGAAGAAAAAAAGATAGTTTAAAAATTTGTATTCTGCAATAGTTCCACTTAAAGCTCCATTCAATCCAGTGAAGTGCACAGAACCATAATGTACCTTTTAACAGGTTTCCCATCTGTGCATTGGAAAACTATTAATGGATGGAAATGTTGCTATGGAAAGGGCCATAATCCATAAAATTCTGTATTCCTTTCATCTTGCTGCCATTATGAAAGTTGGAACTGGGAGTGGGGGTGGTGATTAAAACTGCTTTTTATCTAGTAAGCAATACATCACCAGTAATTTCCTTGTTTTGGGAAATTCATGTAAATCCAAAAGAAGATCCTGCATCTTCCAAAAGACCTGCTCAGCATGTTTCTCATCTCAGAACAAAGGGGAAATGGAAGGACCCATTTCTCAGTGAACACAGAGGTATTGTCATAAAGTACATAGAGGATAATTCAGGTCTAGTGTGAACTTTCCAACTTGAGCTTAATTGTCTAACCACATTGATTAGTTCACCAGAACAGTGACATGCCTTCCCTTAGTTTTGTATTTTACAATCAGCATGAGCACCTCAATATACTCGTTTAAGTGAACACTGCTAAGAAATCAGTTTTGGTTTTGTTTTTTTGGTTTTTTTTGTTTCCTTTGCCATCAGGACCCATCACTTTCCATTATTCTCCTGTTTTGCATAGTTGTTCTGATGGACAATGACTTGTCTCTGACTCAGACTCATATCTTACTTAGTGGTATTATCAAAAAAGATTTCTTTTTAAAATAACACTAGTAGCAACAACCAAATGTCATTATCAGACAACTATCCTAAGTTTCTAGCAAGGATGTGAAATGTTCTAGCTACAAGTAGAGATTTTAGACTTTGTTCTCTATTACCTAAAAAAAAAAGGTCAATTGATTTTTTTTTTGTATGTGGGGGGGGGCACCATCACCACTATTTAAAGGGGAAAATAAATTCCTATCATTTTGGTTTCAGTGGTCCTGAAAAGATAGTAAATATGGTTGCATTTCTCAGTATTTTTGAATAGTTGAAGAATAGTTGAAGACTCAGTATTTTTTACCCTAACTAGAAGGAACTTTTAACAATCAATTCCTAGTTGGTACATACCCAGTTCATCCTCTACTCTAAACCTAAAAAGTCTCCTTCAGTGATAAAATCTAGAGCTTACTTAAATGTCATAATTTGACATAATTTCTCAATGATGGCTAAGTCTTTTGGAATGACTAATTCTCTTGTATACTAGTAGAATTTCACTTCTAACTTTTAATAATACTTAAATGTTATACATCTAATATTTAATGAAAACAAAAAGCTACCTATATCAGCTTATAGAGGGGTCTGTTTTATACAGTAAGGTATCATTAGTATTTTTTTAAAATAAGACTTCAAGACAATTAAAAGAAGTTTTGAGTCTATTAAACATAACCAGGTACTCTTTCAGCAGTTCTTTGAGGGAATTGAAAAGAGAGCAAAAGAAAGTGGGTGGAGGAAGAAGGAAGGGAAGAAAGGAAAAGGGAGGACATTTGTAGCAAAGTAAATTGCAATAAAAGCTTTCTGGAAATTGGATAGACCATAGGCTGTCCTCTCAAATGTGTCCCTCCTAGTTTTTTTATGTAACTCACAATCTATTTAGTGAAACAAATTAAGGTCAAAATCATCCTAGATATATTTGCTCTTCAAACCTAAAAGCAAGCAGTAAGAAAAATAAGACTCATTAAATTTATTAGTACAAGTAAGGGCAACTTCCACCCTCAATTTTGCCAGAAGCACTAATCCATTTTAACCTATGGGGTAACATGCGGGCTAGAGCCTGGGAAAGCCCAGCCTGAATCAGTGACCTTTCCAGAGTATAGGATTAACAATGAGTCTGACTCTCACTGAGATAACGCTGTACCTTTCTTCACATTCAAAGGATGAGGGCAATTGCCTGCAATCAGTGGTGAATACAGCTTGTCTACACCACCAGAGGCCTGCCAATCACTCTCCCTCCCCTTTAAATCATGGTTTGGGGGACAGACTAGAATTTTTCAGCAAAGACCAATCCAAGGGCAGGCAGTCAAGTTCAGGCAGAAAAACAGGAAGGCAAGGCAATCTTCATCTTATTGCAGATGGATTACAGGCCCTGCTTTGATTCTTCATTTTTATGACTATTTTTTTTTTTTGCCCAGTCTCATTTTTGAAACAGATCTTCTATAATAGTTCCTATGAATCCCCCGCCCCAATCATTTATTGTTTATTCAATTGCTGGGTGTGAGGCCCCATGAGGGGTGCTGGCATTACAATTTTCTCCTGGAAGAGATTCCTAATCTTTCTTTCCCATTGTTTCTAATCAATGGACTCAGGCAAAAACCATCAAGCAGGTGAAGGTTGGATGATTTGCCTAATTTTAAAAGGGTACAACAGTTATTTTAAGGTGGCAGAAATCAGACCTACAGGTCCTATTGACTTCTTTCCAAAGCTGAGTCATCTGGACTTGCTATTAAGGGGGTTGGGAGAATGTGACCATAGACCCAGGAATATTCTGTGAATCTTTCCATGCAGGTCTTGCTACAAATCTGAGAAAAAATGAACAGGAATATATGCTCTTTCATACTTTATAACCTAGCCTCTCTCACCCCTAAAGATTCAGATTCCAGACACTCACTCAAACTTTTCACATTTAACACTAACAGTCTACATGCTCTGGGCTTCTCTGCATGCAGAATATGCCCCTGGCTCAGGCTCACAAGGCTTTTTCTCAGCCTGTAAAAGAGAACAGCAACTGATTTAAGGTTGTAACAGCGAGGTTGGGAGCCTCCCGCCACTTATATGGGGGCAATTAGAAATGTTTTCTCTTTGGTATTTCTATTTATTCATTTTTTTTTCTAATCTGGAAGCAGAACAATTGCTCTAAAATTAACCCTGTCAGGACTCCATGCCCATCAGAGTAATAGGCATAAATTCTAATTTGGTCCCCAGATTGTATTTCTTGTTGGTATTTTAGTTTTAAATAGGCATCTAAGTCTATTCCTCCACCAATCTCCTACTTTTGAAACCCCTTTCTGCCCTTTTGGTTTCTAGTTCTTCCATGACAGCTCTATCCAAGGGAGTATAGGATTTCTCCAACAAAGCCTAATTCACTTCATAGGCCACAGCGGAAATCTGACCCCCTCACCACAATCACCAAGAATCAAGCCATTAGGACTTTCAGAAACTTGCTAATCACTCCTTTTTTACCCTTTCCATCAGAGAGCAACTCAGAACTTACCCCTCCTTCCAGAGGGCTTGCTATCCACCCAAGTTCTCCCTGAACGGATCTGGAATCCAATAAAGTAACTGCAAAAGAAAAAAAAAAAGGAAAATAGATTAATTTCCAATTGCAAAAAGGCAATAATACAAAAACCATTTGCCTGAGCGTTTCCATATGTGCTCAGGGTGTGCATATCCAACTATGATCAAAACCTAAACTTGGTCTCACTTATGTAAATAATCATTACTCACTTGATCTTCTCCCCTCTTTAAATCTACAGGTTCTTATTTATTTAACTTGCATAACATTTAAAATTCCATCCCAGGTCTCAGTTGATTCATTTTCCAAAAAGGTGAATAGTACAATTCGAATTTCAAGTACAATTCAAAAAACAAATACATCAATGTAGGGCAGTAACACTCCAGAGCAAAATTTGCATTCATCTCTGTCTGGTATCTACTAGAAGTATTTGTTTTTGCAGGTTTCAGATGACCATATAACTCCTCATCATGGTGACAGAGCCATAAGTGAATTCTATCAGAGAGTATCCAAAGGGTCAAGGAAAAATCTCTCTCTCCCCTGACACCCCTCCCCCAAACAAATAGGCTCTGGAGGTGGTATCCCCTGCTTTTTAAATATCAAAGTTTCAGGAAGAGGGAATGCCAGACACGTTGAATTCGAATGCAAATGCACTCAAGTATTCTCCTTTCTCGGGTCTTTTGGAGGACACTGGGAGACCAGCCTACCACTGAAGAGAAAAATACTGGTTTGAATTTTAGATGTGGAGTGCTGCCTAATGGATATAGGGCGCGTGTGCTACAACACCTAACGAGTGCGCCACGAAGCTTAGGGGGAAGGGAAAGAGTGCCTACAGAGCTGCCATACCCGGCTTAGGCTGGAATAGGGCTAGGTACCGATGACATTGAAAGACTCAAAGAATTGAAATCTCTCCACATTCCCTTTCCCGCCGCTATCTGCAGGCCTGGGGGTCGAAAGGCCCATCTCAAAGGAACCACTGGGTTATTAATTTGATCAGTGAGACAGGCTCTTCAGGCTGGGGGAGGGGTGGGAATGGAAAACCTCCATCCTTCCTCCTGCGCACCCCAACTCAGTTTCACCCCCAGGTTCCTGAATTCTACCCATTTCCCCTCTCATTTCATTCACAAACTAAGGGCGTTAAAATCAGTCTCCTTCCCCTGGTTTTCTTGAGGAGCCTGAAATCCTGGGGTGTGTTAATTATTTTAAAATGTAGAGCCTTCCCTGGGTTGCTCCCGCCGGGAGTTGAGCCCCCCCCCCCACTTTCTCTTCTCTGTCCCTAGAGAAAAGCCCGCTACATCCATTTGGATTTATGTAAGGTGGATTAGGAACACAAAGGGAACAATAAGACCCAATTTACAAAAAAAGGGAGGGAGTAGAAAGGGAGGGTAAAAGGGAGAAAAGGAAACGTGATGGGAATAAAAAGCAACAAAATGAATTAATTTTTAAGAGAAGGAGGGGTTGGAGAGGGGTGTAAACCCCCTCCCCTTTCATTCAACATCAGCCCACGTTTCCACCAGCGCTTTTTTGTGTAAGGCTCCCAAGTTTGGCTTCCAACAGAAGAAGCCAGGGGGTAAAAGGTAAAAATAAAGAAAACAGTCTCTATGTCTGCGAGGTGAGGATAATCTTAGAGGACGTCCGAACAAGTGCGCAAAGTAGCCATGAAAAGCCAAGATCCAGAATTGCGTTCAGGGGGATGACCCTAGAGACCCAGGCGAGGCGGCCACGGCGGCTGGGGTGGCAACTCCAGGCGCGTAGGACGCAGGGGAAGATCGGAGAGGACAAGAGAGCGCTCCGTTCCTTCCAAGCCGTGTCTGTGGGCAGGTGTTTGACTCTCTCTCGGAGCCTCCGTCTGGAGAGCTCTGGGTACCCGCTGCCCAAGCGAGGCTAACTAAGTTGGGTTTTGGCTCCCTCCTTCGGAACAGGGAAAACGATAGTTTGCACAGGGATGTATGGGCTGAAGTCTGGGGAGACAGAGATGGATGAATGGCTGGATGGATGAATGTGGGAGGAGGAAGAGTAGATAAGACGAAAGCAAGGCTAGATGCACGCAGGTTGGAGCGTGAGCGTACGTTTGGACACAAGCACACGCACTCGGGGCACACGCGCACGGGCAAATCCTCCGCGTCCGCGTTCACGAGGGCACCCTCTTCTTTCACGCATTTGTGCGCGCACATACACAGACGGACAAATACACACTCACGAAAACAGCTCCCCTTTCTCTGGACCCGTCAGAAACTAAACGATCCTCTACCCCAACCTCTTCACAGAGACATGGGCATGTACAATCCTCCCAGCACGTCGGAATAGACGCGCAGAAAACAGCACACGGAAGGGGTGCCGTCGCTCATGTTTCCTTTAAACTAGCCAAATGTACTATTCTGGGCCGAAAAGCAAAAACTACGTTCAACTTGCTGGCGGGTTCCCGGGATTGAGAGGGCAATCTGAGGAGCTCAGGGCTCTGGAGGTCGTCGATCGCACCCCTAGGGTGTGGGGCTCGGCGAAAAGAAAGGTGTCTGATGCTTGTTGCTAGAAATCAGGTCACAGGCGCCCGAGGAGCCGCGCCACGACCGCTGCCCTGCGGAGGCCCGGCTGCCGGGTCCGGGAAACGCGTGGCTTGGGAAACTTTGCAGAAACCAGAGCTCCGAAGGCTTGCTTAAGAACCCGGGAGCACTAAGCCTTCGCTGCATTCCAGGCTTGCGTTTTCCCCTTGCCCAGGGACGGTAATGGGGGCGGGGGTGCATAATTTTTTGTTGTTTTGTTTTCAAATCCTGCATTGGCTCCAGTGCATCCCCTCGGGGCCCCTCCAGCCTCCGTGCCCGAGGATGCTGATAAACTTTGGCCTTTCACTACAAACTTGGACAGCCCCGCCGCCTGCACGGGTCACGGCCTCGGGGCAGGCTACTTGGCGTTTTTCCATCACCCTTTCGCGGATCTCTTCGACCTGGAACCCTTCTCCAGGGTTGGGACGCACCGCTCACTCTAGGCTCCCTCCACACCAACCGGCCCTACGCTACCGAAGACCAATTACCCGCGGATCGTCCCCAGTCTGTCCCCGATCCAGACAGGCTGCTTCGTTCTTACCTTCATTCGCCGGGTATACCCTGGAACCGGTGACAGCGTCGCAAATCCCAAAGAGAAACGAAAAGAAGACGAAATAGAAAATCCCAGCCATGGTTCGCCGGTGCCAACGCTGCTCCTGCCGCTTCTATCCCAGTGGAATAAATGCTTAAGTTAGGAGTGCAGCAGGCTGAAGACATTGCCAAGAGGGCGGGCCCTACCCGTGACGTGCGCACGCCAGTCCAAGGCCGGAGACCAATGGTGGTGCAGACTGGATGGCCCGGCCTCGCCCCTAAGCTCAAGCCCGCCCCGAGGCCCCGCCCCCTCCGGGCTCCGCGGGGCGTACGGTCTCCGGGGGTTGGAACCGGCCAGCTCCGCTGGGTTCCCGCCCCCGCGGGAGCGTAGCAGCCTGATGCTCAGACACCAGGGTCGAGCCCCTAGACGGTGGAGGGAGATTCAAAAGACTCAATTGACTGTGGGAACCCGAGAAGAGGTTGGCAACCTTCTTTCCCCTCAACGGACGGTCTGAGATGTCGAAAAAGGCCCTTACTGAAATAAAATAAGTATCAAGTTGACCTGCCCCTTTGCTGCTGCTCCTTTCCGAGGATCGGCGGCTCCGCGTCCCGCCTGCACGTCTGGGGCTGCACACTTCCTCCTGCAGGCCGCCTCCGCTACCCTCTGTTTCCTTGCCCTGTTTTGTGTCTTTTTATGGCGCTCCTGCGTCTGAAATGCTTTTTTGGGGAGTTTCGTACCTGGATTACTCGTTTCTTCCCTACTTTCCCAGCAACCTAGAGAGTGGGGACCAAGTCATCCCCAATCCAGCCCCTAGCAGGGCTCCAGTCACTGCCTCACAGGCTTAACCCGATGACTTCTAGCATCAGGGAAATCCTCCCGGGCCGGGTCCCAGCGTTCCCACCGAGCGTCTCACCGGGAACCCGGACAGGTCTCTCCTCGCAGACGGTCTGGGCTACAGGGAACCAATGTGCGCTTTCTGGGGGAAGTCCCTGGAACCCGATTTAGCAATTTCGGGACGCAGTGGACCAGAGCAAAGGGCCCGTGAGTGCTAGGACTTGCAGCTGTAGTACGAGAACGCAAAGGAGACTCGGAAGGGGCCCGGAACTGCTGCGGTTGATGGGCGCTCGACCGCTTCTCTGCGCTCATCAGGACAGTTCTCCCAGCCCCAGGAGAGGGTGGTGAGCGGCCAGAAGCACAGAACGCGCCCCGCTGCCCTCGTCTCGGCTCCTCGGGTATCGCTGTCGAACCCTCCGGGCGTGCTGGCACCTCTGGGCCGTGGTCTGTCCCCGGATGCCTAGGTCCTGAGCGCAGCCACCTGAGCGTCTACCGGTGACAGAAGCTCAGGCAGTTACCCGGGGACCAAACCCCAATACAACTGAAAGCATCCTCCCCGGAGGTGTGAAGGGGACCCTGATTCTCAGTGAAAAGCCTCCCTTTCTTCCTCCCAGGCCGCCTCTCCTCTGGTTCCTCCCAGGGCAGGGCCGGGTTTTCCTCCGGAGTCTGGGTCCCAGCGGGAGTGCTGCTGCGGGAGGTGGTGGGGCCTTACAGCTCGGGAATCGGCTCTTGGTGAACCAACCGCGCCACCTGCCGGCCAGACTCTGACCTGCGCTGCCCAGGAGGAAGGGTGAGCGGACAAAGACCGAAACCAACTGCCCGCCCCTCTGGGAGGTGGGAAGCGTCGGTAGACTTTGGTAGCCACCTGCCCACGTTCAGCCCACTCAGGCCACTGCTAGCGGTGTGGTGGCTGGAGGCAATCGAGAAGTCCTGGGACTCCTATCGCTCCCCGCCATCCAGATTACGAAAGATGGACTTGGAAAACGTTTCAAGGAGAAACAGTTGGCATCCGAGGGGCTGCTGGAGTAGCCAGCTGCTCTCCCTAAAATCGAAAGTCCGAGCGATGAAGGGCCGTGTTGAGGAGGGAGTAGACCCGGCGTCACTGGCCGCAGTTTTAGGGCACTGGCCTCGACAGCAGATCCTATTTCCCTCAGTGGCTCAGACCTGCGCAGACCTCGACTGACGACACGGACAACTTTGACTTTCAAAGACCAGCGCGCTTGGCCGTACGCGGGGCAGTCGGGGCCTGGAGGGACAGCTTGTGCGGCTCTGGCATTTTGGCTCCTTGGTGAAACACCTATGAAATGTCTCCATCTGGGAAATGGATTTCAGTTTATTGTAGCTACTGATTTTACACAAGTAAAAGGGGGTGGGGGTGGGGATATGCACACACGATGTGTGTGTGTGTGTGTGTGTGTGTGTGTGTGTGTGTGTGTGTGTGTGGAAATTATTTAAAACAACTTCACCAAGTCCCTTTAAGGAATGCATTTCTAGGTTCTTTCATGTGCCTTTCAGAATTTTACAGGAAAAGAAGATGAATATTGGTCCCTGTCATTTGGCACACAGATTCAAAAGAGAAAAGAGCAATCCAAATTCTTCTTAAAACATTTTTTAAACAATAGACGCTGTTTGTTTCTCTGCAGGAGTTGGAATATTGCATGTATCTGTGGTTGAAATGGAAAACTGACTGCCTGCATCATTAAAAACAGAAAAATTTCTAAAACATGTACCATCCCCCCCCCCCAGGATATGCACACTGAATATTAAGCAAAGTCTTTTTCCAGCCACAGCTGCCTGGAAGCAAGACATCATTTGCTAGGGTACATTCACTGATCCCCCTTTTTCCTGTTTTTCATTTTAGGGCTCAAAGCTGCCCAATAATCAGGTGAACCAAGAAGCTGGATTGCTGACTGGGAAAATCTGCGCTCCAACTTCCCTCTGTAAAGCATTTCTGGGCTGCAGATTGGAAATGAACTGCTGTTCATTGTGGCTACCTGGAGGAGAATTCTTCTGTCCTCTGTGATTACTTACAGGGGAAAGACTTCTAACCTGACAAACAGGATTCCTTCTAAAAAATAAGATAAAAATGGAAACACCATCATCAATGCAAAACCCTCTCTGCACCCCATAATTGGAAAACACCCTGGAATTTTCAAACTTCTAAGTGTGAACAATCAGTCTGTAGAGCCATAAGCACAGAACCCAACACAAAACCTACCTAACAACACCTACTTTTAAAATAAAGTTGCTTGGCTCTTCTGAGTAAAACAAGCCTCTCAGAACTGTGAGAATGTAGGGGTGCTTTGAATCCACTAAGGGGAATCTCAAATGAATCTGCTAATAAGCTTAATATAAAGGATTAATTAAATGACTTGATAGCTTTGACTTTTTTTTTTTCATACTGTGCCTAACACAAAGACTTGAGCCACGAAATACACTGTCAATACTAAGTTGAATTAAGGTTGTATTTCAAAGGCATTTCTAATCTTCGTAAGACATTTTTAAATGGCCACAAGAATACCTGATTTCTGCCTCCAAGTGGAAGGCGAGTTTTGCCAAAGTAACGAGAAAGGGGTCTTTGACCTGTAGACAAACAAGCCATGATAGTGTGTTTGTAGACAAATAGCAATGGATGGAAGACAAGAGGGAGGGTGAGAAAGAGAACATGAATCCATTCCACCTTTTCCTAGGCACTGTGGTAGAATTTTGTGGTAGGTTTTAGCCTGACTTCCTTGGATGTTAGTCTTTCTACCATTAAAATGTAGCACATCCACTGTGTTCCAATGATGCTTTGTCATTTCAGTTCAGAAATACCAAGGTTAATTTGCTTGCTGGATTTTTGCTATCTGTATGTCTTTGAGTAAGTTTCTTAACCTCTCTGAGATATGGCTTTCTTTCTGTAAATTGTAAATGATTTTTCTAAATATTGAATGATTTTATAGAACACAATATATTATCTGGCACATGGGAAATAGCTATTATTACAGATAATATCTCATTAAGAATTATAAACATTATTAACTGTAGAATAATTTATTTATCTCAAATCTTCTTTTTCACAAGGAAACCAAATACTGTGCTTAACTTTTTGTGCTCCATGAGAAAATAATTCTTTATCTCACAAACTCCTGGAGGAGGGAAGGAAGATACATTCTAACTTCTTCTTTTTTTCATTGATTTATGAAGCTTACATCTAACTCCTCTGTTCCTAGATGATTCAACTAAATTTGAATCTAAATTTTTTTTTTGTCTTCCAATATAATGGTTACAAAAACAATGAAGTAAAACAAGGTGTGAAAGACCAAAATTTCACAGCCAGAAAACTGTGCTGATGGTAAGTAAGTAAGGCTCCATCCATCTAACGAAATCTCCACTTTTGTCAGAAAGCTACCCTCTTAAATAAAGTCATCTGAAATAGCATTTGGTCGGTTTTCTGAAGCCCCCAGGAAACCCAATTAGAGATTTTATCCTTTGATGTCAAAGCTTTGATGCTGTTTCTTATGCAAATGAGAAGCAGGACTATTACTAGGCCTTTGCACCTGAGTGAGAAAGATGGCTATAGAGCTCAGGTCTTGATGGATCAAGAAGGTGGGACAACAAGACACAGCAAGAAGCCTTTTGAGTCACTGAGGTGGGGAAGGGCTGACCGGAAAGTTGGACTACTCAAGGGGGCAAATCCGAATTTGATCCAGTTCTAGCAAACATTTCTCAAGGGCAAACTATGTATCAAACACCACAGTTTGAAGACACCAAAGGTTGCTTCTCAGTCTTGTCTGTGTATGACACACCCACCACATGGCAATGTGGACGACGTGGGGGGACAAGTAGGGGGACAAGTAGAAACCAATGGAAACATTTCCTTTATCTGGGCCCTGGAGGAAGGCGGAGAGAGAGAGAGACAAACAACACCAAGTCACTCAGTCCTATACCAATATATGTGCTTTGAACTAACATTGTACAGAGACAATGAGTTTTTCTGGCGGAGATGATCTATATCTGTTTTCGGCTGCATTGGTGAACGTGAGTTAAACATCAGAACTGTTTTATGGCTTAGACATGAAACCCATGCCCCAAAGGAAGTTTAAAACATTCTTTCCTGGGAACCTTGCAATTCAACCCCTGTGACCATAGATTTCCTCATTCTAGCTCAAAATGTGAACATAAAATTATCAAGTCATAGTCACTAAATAATTTAGCTATTAATACTTTAATATTTAATAGCAATGTTGATTTATGGTTATTAGAAGAAATTTTGGAATTATGATTGTATGATGAAAAACTAATGCTAACATACATGTGTATAACATCCAGTTGACACGGTTTTATAAGCCACTTTTAAGAGAGAAATAACTATCTGATTGGAGTACTATTATGTAGCAGTACTACATGCCCTGCCCTGATTTTTCTTTTGAAAAACAATGTGTAATGCAATGAAATTCTGTGAGAAAGTAAGTTTATCATTTACATAATTTATGATTTACTACATAACAAGAATATAAATTTGGAAACCCAAATTTCCCTTCCCCCATAAGCCAAAAGCACTTCCAGAGCACTTGTGTTCCAAACATTTATTTTTTAATTTCAAAAGATCGCAGAGTATTTCAAATATGTCTAAAACAACAGATTATATATTTCTTTATGTAGAATATAAATTTCTCAAGGGCTTATTTAGATAATGGAATTTTGCAAGTGTGCTTCTAGAGGAATTAGAACTTTTGAAATTATATTTATATTGTATTTCTTTAACCTAATCATTTATTTCCATTAGCAAATTTTGACCTTTCACATCTTGTAAGTAAAAAGAAATTTTCTCCTACAAAACAAGTATGACTTTAACCCTTATTCAAGAGGACTAAAGAGGAAACTCAGTGTAAACTCCAAGAAACAGTGTAGGTTTTTCTTCCTAAATTATATACTACTTGAACACCACTATATAATAATGAAAATTTATTAAAATCAATTGAATATAAATCTGCTCTGTATGGAAAGGAATACAAAAGTGAAATTTATCAACCTGGTTTGCCTAGAATTGGCAGCAGGGGACATTTTCTGGACACACAATATTTATAAGCACTGAAGAATTTGCGAAAAGTCTTAGCTTGGGAGTCCACAGACAGACATATGTCATATAACTTTAAAATGTGCAGAGCAGCTCCTCACAGGTAGTGATATGTGGCATCACTTTGGGTTAGACCTTAACTATGTCTGCACAAACAAACTGGCTTAATTCGGGCAAACAATGAGTTATTTGAAGTAGGGAGGTAAAAAGAAATTCAGTTAGTAACGGATCATTTGACTCCAGCTGACATTTAAAGTATATCAATTCAGCCCATTTGTTTTTCTTTGTATTCAACTTCACATATGTATGACTCCCAGGTTCTCTTTTTGCTGGGAGTTAAAAATTAGGAACTAAAAGACAGAGAAAAGTGTCCCCAGTCCATTTATTATTGAAATACATAGATCTGTATAAAAGCAGCTTTTAAAGAACACCCTTAATCATCACTAACTTAATCAAGGCTGACTTGTACAAGTTTGAGAAAAATCTTTTTCCTATATATTTATACATCATTAATATTACAGGATTTATCCCCTTAGATTTAACATTTCACTTTGACATTCAGGATTAAGATGTGAGATAACATATATGCAACCACGCTAAGTTTCTATCACTTTTATCTCTGCAGTTCTGAATCAAAACAAATTTGAACCAAAACATGCAGTGGTTGTGAGAGGAATTCCGATGTACATTAACTTAAAGAGACGGTCCCATCTCTGCAACTTCAACTTGTCTATTTATATTACATTAGACACCTAACAGAGGTAATTGAACATTGGCAGGAAATTAATCAAGTCTGTTCCGTTAAATGGTCAGTTTACTGCAGCTCAGTAAAGCTGGGTCCCATTTCCTCTGTGTGTCTCATTATGTTCTCATCCGAAACTTTTATAGTTTTCACTTGGATTGCTGCAATTTAAAATGGTTGGATAAATACCTAGTTGTGTCCAGGCTGCCTAGCAGGTTAAGTTGCTCAGTGAACTGAATTTGTAATGCAGAAATCATGCCAACCGTAGAAAGCACAGTAAACTGCAGAAGTCATGAGAAAATCCAGGCTGCTTTGGGTCTTCCTACTAGGAGCTTTCTTCCAACAGCTCCTTGTGTCCCTTTCCATGATATATTTATGCTGTAGATACCCATCTATATATAAAACTGGATGCTTGCTTGAAAAACCTTAGATTAAAAATAAGATCAGCCAGTTCGAACTCTCCTATCACAAGGGCGTCACGTGGTTAACGATGAGGGTCATTGAGCTCTAGGTCTGGAAAGTCCTGTGATTTAGAACCTTCCTCTTGCGGTCCTCTGGTTAAATCTGCTCAGCTCTCTGTTGTTGTCGTGTCCACCTACACACAGCTGTCCATCTCCCTGAAACCTTTTTGCTGTCAGTCAAGTGACAGCTTTGGATGGGGGGCTTTGTGTGCTGAGGCCTCCTGAGGCCCAGCACCACACTCAGATGGAAAGGAGCGTGGGCGAGGGAACACAAGGAATTCTTCCAAAGGGGTGGGGGACACGATGGACTACTGGAGGGAGGGACTCAGTGCATGGCTCCTTCAGAAACCGCTTTCTCAAACACATGCAGCCAAAATGCAGACACATATACCAGAACCCCCACATCTGCAGCCCAGCAGCACCAAAGTGTAAAATCACCCCTGGAAGTCAGCATTCCAGGGCTTGTGGAGGCAAAGAATAAAGCACCCTCTGTACTTGAACAGGGATTAGTGTCCAAGAATAGTCCTAGTTTCTCTCCTAGTGTGAACGATGAGATGTGTCTATCTTTCCCTTTCTTGGATTCACTGATTCTTAGCTGACCTGTAAGTACTAATATCTCTTCCTAAAATTACTTGGGAACATTTGTTTTGGCTAATTGGAGAGTAGCTGGAGGAACGTTCTGCTTATGATTTTCTATGGATTTCATCCTGTATGATTTAATGTCTTAATTTTGGAAGGAGGTTGCATTGAATAGTGTGAAGCCACACTATTGAGACATCTCTCTTTGTACAGTAGATTACTTCACTGAAAAATGAGATAGGTCATTAGCACAGATTAGATTTTGATCTCTAGGAAAAGAGCCCAAATTGAGATGCAGGCTTCATTTTAATTACTTTGTTTTTATTCGGTGCTGTCTGCATTCTGATTGTAGAGACTCTTACAGTTGCCTTCCTATTCCTGAGCAGCTAAAGTTCAGAACCTTGAAACAAAAGCAGTCTAGTTTATGCTAGAATCACCAGGAACCCTGATATTTTCTAAAAATAAATGGATTAATTTCCATCTTGTCTCTGGATGTGAGACATGTGTGCCTGTCTTTCAATTAAGGT